TACACACGAAAAATTTGTAGAAGGACTTCTCTTTGCGGATGACTTCCTCCAAATCTTCTATAAGACATCAAGTTCCGAGTCATCAGCTGCTGATGCTGGAGAATAGCAGTTGATGAAGATGGTTTCTGATGTAGAGGACGGAGTCGAAGGACAGCCAGACGAGGTGATAGGATCTCGTGCGAATCGACAAAATGGAAACAGATCTCGTGCGAATCGAAAAAATGGAAACAGATGGGTGTACGACAAATGCAAGCCTCCAACGTTCCGTGATAGAACATCTCACCACGAATAGTGGTGTGCCATCATTCAGCTGTCTCACGTCCGTCCTCCTTAACTTCGTTTCCTGCAGGGCGAATAGGTGGTAGTTGATGTGCCCCTCAGCTTCGAGAAGGGCATGAAGATCGGCATTAGTGGAGACTGTCCTGGCGTTGTAGGTGCAGAGCAAGTCAAGTCGTTGACGTGTCCTTTGGTCCGAAATCCATGGCGTCCTATGCAACCTGACACTGGTCTTGATGACATTCGACGCCGTAGACGTGATCCAGCGTGCAGGGCTTCTTTTCTTATTACATGCTATACAAGCAATAAAATAAATACCCAAAGTTAGCAGCTTTGCCTGGGCCTGCCAAGCTTTCACCACAGGCATATATCTAGCGTAATCAGCCAGATGGTGAGGCTTTTGGCCTGGCCTACTCTTAGCTGGGCATGGAGCCGGAAACGCCGAACTCTTCAGCTTGCAAGACCGTGTTGATGGATAAACCTCCGCTGTACTTCGCAGTTTGACACCAAGAGTCACCCCTGCGCCACGATGAGGCGGTAGACCGTTACGGGGGTGCGCAAGAATAGTGACCGAAAATTTGCTAAATGTTCAAAGGTTATCTTACTAGCTTAATGATCAAGAAAAACCTTTACCAGAAAAATCTATGCAGAATCCAGGTTTAGTTTATTATCTGACTGGCATGTCATTTATCAATCAAAACTCTACGGAAAAATCTCTAAAACAATCTAATGCCCGCAATGCACAGACTAGAAAATTGCAGTTTTAAAATTATTATTACTGTTAGTTTATTGTTGAGATCTCCCTGTGAGTCCTTCATTTCTCCGAGAAGCGAGCTACGACCGCTCTGCTTTCCCACACACTCGAGCATCGGGCTCCCTGTTATAAATAGCGGCGCAAACTTTAAACTTCAAAAGTCAATAAATTTGTTGTTTTTAGTATCGAAGCGTCAGCTACTTGCGTCAAAGAGACAGCAAGTTGACGCTAACTAATACTCTGTCTTTCATCTACCTTTAGAAGAAGAACCCATTGCTATATAAAAAAATTGTTGGCTAACTTGTCGCCCAAACCATCTTCTAGAATTTTGTACATACCACGAATTGAACCTCATTTTGAGTTCTCGCTTAATCGACAATGCGTATCGTTTTCAAACGTACAAGTCGGATAATTGGTAGTCGCACAACCCTTCCAATGAGGGTGCACAGCTTCCGCAGATTTATTTGTCGTTAACTCAATCGCTGTAAAAAATTTGCGTTGTTTCTTAGCGATTACATCTGAAAAAGAGTTTTGCGAGTAGTGCAGATTGCTACACACAGACCTGTGGACTCGGGAAAAAGTGAAGATGGATTTGAATTGGGATCAGGACCTCCCGCTGAAAAACACCTCAATGAACACATAGTCTGAAATTCTTGTTATGAAGAATAATCATTCCAATGAACATGAAATCGCTTATTGCAACTCAATACAGGTCTGTCACGTCTTACCAACTGGAGAAGGTTTTACTGCTTTCTATTGTTAGGATTCTTCTGATTTGCAAAAGCGTTTTTTGACCAATACGACTCTTACAAAAACTCAAGAATAAAGTTTCCTACGCGCTTCAACCAAAAGAGAAGTGACAAACTTTGGAAAAGGGGTTTCCATTCGCTTATGATATATTAACTATCCTATCACTCAGATGACTGAAGACTCTGACGAAAAATACCATTTACAGTGACTTGGGCCGAAAATGCTAACAAAGTTTCCTCAGAAAGAAAATATAAGGCAGGATTCCAATACGTCTCGAGAAAGTTTTAAATGATATTCACAAAATAACTTTGTAGGAATGTTTAAAGTAATGTAATCGAAAACGGAAGTAGTGAAAAAGTGTTCCATTTGAAGCAATACTAAATAGAGTCCATTCCTTTTGATGAGAGAGGAAAGTGATTACGAATTTTACACCTTATTTTACAACAATTTGATAAGCTTCGTATCTCAGCTGCGCTAAACTAATGCTTTCTGATGAAAGTTAATATTTGCGTCTGCAATCTGACACCATAAGAAAAGCAAACATAGCTCGAGACCTTTAGTGTAATCCATGCACTCACTGATAATGCTTCATTTTTACAATTTTTAGAAGGAAAACAAATTTCAGCTCCAAATTTCAAAACTACTGTATCAAAATTGCTAAGGAACTAACTCATATAACCTCCAGATAGTAATGGTTTTCAAAGTATTGCCGGCAAATTTTTGGATGGATATTTACTCATTCAGCTCAACAAAACGCTTATGGAATTGTCCAAACACATGCATGAAATATAAAACACCAAAATGTTTCATCAAGCTTTATTTGACTTCAAAATCCTAACTTACGCAAATTTTATCAGGGCACATGTTTGCATTGGGTTGTCGAACGAAGTCATGCAGAATCTTAAAGTTTTTGGTGCAAATTTTGAGCAGCTGTTATGAACCATCTGGAAGAAGATTTCGCTCACAAAATGTTATGTTCAACTTTTCTAGTTGATATTAATTAGCGATTTAGTCGTTAAAACAAGGTTTCAGTTATGAAAACAAACTTGCACCTCTTTGTTTTACCAACCAGAATCTCGACATTTACTGTAATATCACCTAATCGGTTATTTCATCGTCTGTGAAAATATGCCGCTGTGCAAAATTTACTGTGGGAAGGTACAAAATTTGCTGTAAGATGAAAAGTAAACGATGAAGGTGTCGGTCAGCAGATTTTTCCGAAAAGTAGTCTAAAGTGGCATCCTGAACAAAACCTTGCCAAGTCAATAAAAACTTATTGTATGATTATAAATTAGACGACGAAAGAGTCTTAAATACCATTAAGCCAGGGAAACTTGGGCGTGTGCCAAAGTATGCAAAATTTGTTTATGGTACGGAATGGATGCTCATGGACAGCACATCAGCTCAAAAGTCTACTTTTTAAGACCTTGTTT